GTGTGTGTGTCTGTGTGTCTGTGTCTGTGTGTGTGTGTGTGTGTGTGTGTGTGAGAGAGTGTGTGTGTTTGTGAGAGTGTGTGTGTTTGTGTGTGTGTGTGTGCTTTCTCCTGCAGCTCATGTTAGTGAATTACTATCTGGTGATGGTGGGACAGGGGCTGTCCATCATATCGCTGTTCATCTCCATCTGCATCTTCTCACACTTCAAGTACGTCATGAAGACTGATGATGTTTCTGTCAGTCTGTGATCAGTAGAGCAGAAAACATGGCTTCGAGACAGAGACAGTAGTGGATCTTTGTATGATGTACACTACCAGTCAAAACTTTTTGAACAGATTTTTAATGTTTTTTAAAGAAGTCTCTTCTGCTCACCAAGCCTGCATTTATTTGATCCAAAATACGGCAAAAACAGTAAAATTTTGAAATATTTTTACTATTTAAAATAAGTGCTTTCTATTTGAATACATTTAAAATGTAATTTATTCCTGTGATCAAAGCTGTATTTTCAGCATCATTACTCCAGTCTTCAGTCACATGATCTTCAGAAATCATTCTAATATGCTGATTTACTGCTCAAATTTTTTTTTGTTAACCTTTTTATTAAATTGCTATTAAATTAGTTTAAAATTAACAATTTCAACCAATTAGTCATTCTTCTTTTGATTACTAACTCTTAATTTAACCATTAAAACTATTAAAATGAAAAAAAAAAAAAAAACTGAATTTGGAAAAAAAGTAAAATGTATTTCTAGAGCCCTAAAATTTATTTCTCTGTTGACTTTTAAATTGTTTTAAATTGCTAATAAATTGTATTAGTTTCATGATTCTAACTAATGAAACATGCTTTTTTTGTTTACTAACATTTAATTTAACCACTAAAGTGGAAAAGTAAAACTGAATTTGTGAAATAATAAAATGGAAAAATTCTAATTGAATTTGGGGAAAAAATAAAACTGATTTCTAGGGCCCTAAAAATGACACTACATTCATTCATTCATTCATTCATTCATTCATTCATTTGTTTATTTACAGTATTTGCATGTTTGTTTAATTTTATTTAATTTACTTAAATTAAACTTGTAATTAGTTTAGTTAAATTGTTTCATGATTTCAGTTAATTAAACATGCTTTTTGATTGATACTACTTCATTTAACCATTAAAATGGAATTTTAAAAAAATATAAATGAAAAAAAAAAAAAATAAGAATTTGGAAAAAAAATTAAATGTATTTCTAGAGCCCTAAAATGTTTTTTTTTTTTAATCTTTTCAGTAAATTGCTAATAAATTGTATTAGTTTCATGATTCCAACTAATGAAACATGCTTTTTTTGTTTACTAACACTTAATTTAACCACTAAAGTGGAAAAGTAAAACTGAATTTGTGAAATAATAAAATGGAAAAATTCAAATGGAATTTGGGGAAAAAATAAAACCGATTTCTAGGGCCCTAAAAACATTAATTATTATTATTATTATCAATATTTAAAACAGTTGAGTAAATTTTTTTTCAGGATTCTTTGCATTTATCATGCATTTCAGATTCAGCATTGATCTCAAATAAAAAGCTTTTGTAACATTATACACTGAGCAGAAGAGAGTTCTTGCTGTTGGAGAGGTTTTGGCTGGCAGTGTAAGTGAATGGCTGGTGTCTGCGCAGGTGTTTGAGCTGCCAGCGAATCACTCTTCATAAAAACATGTTCATCTCCTTCATCCTGAACTCGTTCGCCACCATGGCCTGGTTCTACTTCATCTTTGGAGACCAGAGACAAGACACCAGAATGGATTCGGTAGGTGCATATATATACTGTATATGAGCATCATGAGCTGTTTCTCATAAACACTTACTGTAACTTACTGTACAGAGAGGAAAAATCACAAAAAGTGATTATATGTCCATAGAAAGCACATTAAATGTAAGTAAAGTGTCTGCTTTTAAGGTTCCAAATAAGTTTTTGGAGAATAAAATGTCAAAATTTGGTTGAAATAATGTTACATTGTCATTCAGTGTAACACTTGTAGTTATGTAAAAATTCAAACAACATGCTTATTCTGACCTGTACATATTTAAATATATAAAAGAATAAGTGAGCATATTAAATTTTATTGGGTTTTAATTGAGTAAAAATGATTACTGACAAATGGGCAAAACCTAGGATAGTGGCACATTTTAGAAATGTAAAATAACAACTAATTAGTATTTGGGGTGAAAGTAATTAGTCTTTTAATATTAAAAGTCATAAATTGATTTTTGTTGTAAATATGCCTGACAAGATTGTTACACTGAATGACATTTTCGTGGGTGTCTTCTGTAAATCAGGAGAAAAATGAATGATATTTGTTTTTTGCTGTTTTTATTTATTGCATATTTGTCACACTTGAAAGATTCAGATCATCAAACAAATTTTAATATGACACAAAGATAACCTGAGTAAATACAAACTGCAGTTTTGAAATTATGATTTCATTTATTAAGCCATTGCTGACCAAAAAGAACACAAAGGCTTGTCTCACATTTGCCAAAAAGTATCTTGTTTATCCCCAAGACTTTTGGGCAAATATTCTGTGGACTGATGAGACAAAAGTTGAACTTTTTGGAAGGTGTGTGTCCCGTTACATCTGGCGTAAAACCAACAGAGTATTTCATTAAAGAGCATCATACCAACAGTCAAACATGGTGGTGGTAGTGTTATGGTCTGGGGCTGCTTTGCAGCTTCAGGACCTAGATGACTTCCATAACTGATGAAACCATGAATTCTGCTCTCTATCAGAAAATCCTGAAGGAGAATGTCCGGCCGTCAGTTTGTGACCTCAAGTTCAAGCGCACTTGGGTTCTGCAGCAGGACAATGATCCCAAACACACCAGCAAGTCCACTTATGAATAGCTCAAGAAAAACAAAATTAAGGTTTTGGAGCGGCCAAGTCAAAGTCCGGACTTAAATACGATTGTGATGCTGTGGCATGACCTTAAACAGTCCATTCATGCTCAAAAACCCTCCAATGTGGCTGAATGAAAACAATTCTGCAAAGAAGAGTGGGCCAGAGTTCCTCCACAGCGATGTGAGAGACTCATTGCCATTTATCACAAACGCTTGATTGCAGTTGTTGCCGCAAAGAGTGGCACAACCAGGTATTAGATTTAGGGGGCAATTACTTTTTCACGTAGTGCCAGGTAGGTTTGGACAGCCTTTTTCCCCTTAATAAATTGCGTTTGCATTTATGCATGAAATTAAGATGCATAAATCTCAATTTCAAAAAATTGACCCGTATGACTGGTTTTGTGCTCTAGGGTCACATATACATAATATACAAACATATATATATATATATGCATGTTTGTATGTTTGTATATTATGAAGTGTGTCCCTCAGCAGGATATCAGTAGTTGTTGATGTTGTTGATGTTCAGTCTCAGATCGGCTGTAAGCTGCTGGCTAGTATCATGCAGTACACCTCCTGCTCCAACTACTTCTGGATGCTGTGTGAGGGGATCTACCTGCACACGCTCATCATCGTGGCCGTGTTCGTGGGAGAGCAGCAGCTGGGCTGGTATTACGTCCTCGGCTGGGGTTTGTGCTGCCATTCCTTTCACGCTCCAATCTGACCGTGTGTGTGTGAGTGTGTGTGTGTGAGAGTGTGAGTGTGTGTGTGTGTGTGTGTGTGTGTGCATCCGTGTCTTTATGAAGCAACATCAATTCATCTCTGAGCTTCTCATGACCTCACTCTCAGAAATGACTCGTTTACTCAGAACGCCAGACTCATATTTCTGTGTCAGCTTTAAAAAACTACTGCAGATGTTTTAGATGGTTGCTTATCAATTTATTTAAGTAAAAAAAATTTATTAACTTATTTTATGTTGTGGTGTGTTTTATGTATCACATTTATGTATTTCTGGGGTTTAGGAGGTTGATTTATTGAGGTTGAATATACCAAAATATACCAAATTTACCAAAATATAATTAAAATAATTGTTGTAATGTAATAATTTTACACACACACGCACTCACTCACACACACACACACACACACACACAGGTTTGTTTTTGTGAAAAGTGGGGACATCCCATAGGCGTAATGGTTTTCACACACACACACACACACTCTCTCACACACACACACACACATATTTCAGCTATTAACAGTAACTAATTGAATACAATTTGTGTGTGTGTACACTGCTGTTTTCTTTCTTTTTGGAATTTTGTTAAAAATTTTATTCATCAAGGATGCATTAAATTGATCAAAAGCTATTCACATAGAAAACAGTTATTTTAAATTCTAATAATATTTCAAAATATTACTGTTTTTTCTATATTTTTGATCAAATAAATGAAGCCTTGATGAGCAGAAGAGACTTTAAAAAACATTAAAACATTTATTGATCCCACAGTTTTGAATGGCAGTGCATATATTTTATAATATAATATAATCTTCTGTCGACTTCATAATCTAATGTGCAAGAAATGAAAGATTGAGCTCTTTACACACATCACCCAATGATTTTTGTTTTTTCCCTGCAAATATATGCGAGTCTGTTTTTTGCAGGTTTCCCAGTGATCCCTGCAGTCCTGTATGCTGTAGCCCGTCTGCTCTTCCACGATGACAAGTAAACATCACATTTCTAGATTTCACACTTAAAACTGAACTCTAAAGATGTAAATGTTCACTCTTAAATCCTGAAATGCCTAATATTTGACATTTGCTCCAGGTGTTGGATCATGAATATAAACCTGCTGTACATCATACACAGCCCCATACAAGTCGCTCTGCTGGTGAGCTTCATCATCATCATCATCATCAGTGCTGGGGAAAGTTACTTTTAAAATTACAATATTGCGTTACTCCATAAAAAGTAATGGGTTACTTTACTTTTGCATTAATTTTTCTCATCTGGGCTGGGCTCGCTTGTTTGTTTTTAATACAAAAAGTTTTATTTTCAGCAAACGTAAAAGCCCTTTCACGCCAAAAATGTACATTTGCGAAGCTAATTTTGAGCTACACGCAAAAAAAGTGAAAATATCGATTTGTCAAATTTGATGTTTTCACTAAAATTAGTTCATTAAGCCCTCGTCTAGCGATCCCAATGCTCCAAATAGTAATTAAACATCTACAATTATATTTATTTGTACGTTTTCTGAGTATTCTCTCGACATGGCAACACAAGAGCTGTCATGGGAAACAAAGTAACTGGTGTTACTTATATGAAAAAGTAACTCAGATATTCTGGAGCTGATCAGCTGATCGGTCAGTGTTTGATAATGATGGACACCAGACTCTGATTCAATTTGAAGCTCGTCCTCAGTGAGGATTATGGGTAATCAAATCAAATCAATATATGATGTTAAACTGTAAAATCCACTGAATGTTACATGGTTTCTTGTTTGTTTACTTTTATACGTGTTTTTTTGTGTGTCCTTAATAAAACAGACATGATAGTTAATTTACATGTGGAAGCATGTCATTATATTTTTCTATACACTAGCAGTCAAAAGTTTTATTTTTAATGTTTTTTAAAGAAGTCTCTTCTGCTCACAAAGCCTGCATTTATTTGATCTAAAATACAGCAAAAGCAGTAAAATTGTGAAATATTTTTACTATTTAAAATAACTGTTTTCTATGTGAATATCTGTTCAAATGAAATTTATTTCTGTGATCAAAGCTGAATTTTCAGTCTTCAGTGTCACATGATCTTCAGAAATCATTCTAATATGCTGATTTGCTGTTAAAGAAACATGCATTATTATTATTATTATGTTGAAAACAGCTGAGTAGAATTTTTTCAGGTTTCTTTGATGAATAGAGAGTTCAGAAGAGCAGCATTTATCTGAAATAGAAATCTTTTGTAACATTAGAAATGTCTTTATCATCACTTTTGATCAATTTAAAGCATCCTTGCTAAATAAAAGTAATAATTTCTATAATTTCTTTCCCAAAAAATTTTTTAATAAATATATCTATATCTATCTATCTATACATTGGTATAGTTGAATGGTATAGAATGGTATAGTTTATAATGTTTGAAAAGCTTTTTATTTCAGATAAATGCTGATCTTTGGATCTTTCTATTCATCAAAGAACTCTCAAAAAATGTCCTCAACTCTTTTAAATATTGTTAATAGTAATAATAATAATAATAATGTTTGTTGAGCTGCAAATCAGCATATTAGAATGATTTCTGAAGATCATGTGACACTGAAGACTGAAAATTCAGCTTTGATCAAAGAAATAAATTACATTTTAACAGATATTCAAATAGT